CCACTTAGCACCAGAACCTATTCACTATAATTTGCTCAATACATTGGTTGAACATGGACCAGTAAAGAGTCACAAACTTTTTATCACTACTCATTTGAAAAACCTAAAAACAGATTCCAGAGGTCAAAGCACCTGCATCTTAACTCTTGCCTTGAAATGTTTCAGACATCCAGCTGCATACACATCTCATTAGGGGTGATAAGCTAGGTTTATTTAAGTCACTTAAAATGAATACAATTATACATTTTACTTCAAAATATCAAATACATTGTCCAGAACTTGAGGCTTTGCTAAAGTAAGCTTACGTAAAACCAGTTTTCCCTTCATTCAAGATCTGTCATACTCATGTCTAAAGCTTAACTCTGCAAGTGAAATGATCAAGTCCCAGCCCTCTGTGGGTGTCTTCTCAGTGCTTCCAACAATGCACAACAAACGCATCCTCAGAGCACAAAAGAGCAAAAAGAAATGAAAGTGTGTGCCTCCTAGTCTGTGCCTCACTTAGTCCATTAATATACCCATTAATAAATATAACTTCAGTGTCAGCATTTGCAGCGTACATACAGTTTTCCTCTGAAGTACTGATAAGTACTATTGTACCACCTTACTTGAACACCTTAGAGGTTTCAACATAGTTGACCTTACAGCATGCCAGTGAACTAAAAAGGCCTTACTGTTTTGTAGCTATAGAAGCAGAGATCCTGATTGTCTTGCTTAGGGTACATAAGAAACGTGGCAGAGTAGACAACTGGACCTGTCCCTCCTGAATCCCCACTTATCACCCTTTCCAAAAAGTTCCTAAAAGTTGGAGATGGAGACTATTCCATTGAAATTACAGAAAACAACCTGTTTCCCCAGTCACAGGTTCAGTAAAGATTAGAAGCATCAGAAATGCATGTATTCACACTCCTGTAACTTTGTGTATTCCACTTTCTCCAAAATCTCATGAAGCTTTGTTCTTCCTCTCAGGATCCAGAGGCAAGAAATTATAGATGGGCTTGGTTTTGAATTCACACACATCCCCTGTACTTGAAAAGGTAATGAACTTTTACATATTAAGGCACAATTACAAAACAGAAGGAAAAAAATCCAGACCCATGCTAAACAAATTCACCTACCTTAGGTACAAACACAAGGCAGAGAGTAATGGTGCTGCAGAATATTATGACTAAAGCAACGATGCAGAACTGCACATTGGGTTGGTCCCGCGTAAGGAATGAAACAGCAGCACCAATAATACACATTATCCCCACATTGTATAAGGAATGCTGACATTTCGTGTCTCCCAGGCTAGGAAACACCCAAATAACTGAAAAGGTAGAAGAAGGAAAAAAGATGATAATTATAAGAGGAATTGGCTGACATCCAGACAAAGCATTAATTTAAACCTGATATGTTTTCTAACTTGACAAATACAGGTGATACTACAATACAGAGATATACACCTACCTTTTACCCAATATCTAATTACCTGTGTGATTTGTTTTTCTCACTAGGACAGATTCCTGCTCTCACAAGAAAAATGTGAAACTTGGAATTAGTTGTGATGGGAACAAATTTCTCTAAATGCTATGGTTATCTTTATTTTATACTTCTAGTAATTTTTAAAGATAGTCCTTCCTGTTTGTTTTCAAGGATTCCAGTAAAGATATAATGTGCGTTGTTCTTTCAGCTATTTTTAGCAGCTGTTCTCAATATACTCCTATCAATCCAGTCATTCACTGTATGATTATCACTTACATTAATAAACAGCAGTGCCAAGATGTGTTCCATGGGAGACAAATATACAATGTAGAAAGTGTCACCCTAGTTGTTCAGACTGCAATTATAATGTCTTTTATTATAGTGGGAGTTGGTAATGGCCTTTCAATTGCAGTTGTCTAATGAGTTCTGGCATAAAACATTCCTGTGGCAATTTTTGTTTGCTTTTTTCTTCGGTGTATTTTTCAGTTTTAGCCCCTTTGTTATTTGCAATATGCTTTTGCAATTCAACAGAGGAAAGTCTTAGTGTAAGGACGCCGTCTCCATCCCTTGAAATTTAATTAGATTTTTCTACAACATGAACTGCTGCAAACAATTATTTTCTTTCTCTTGCATTCCTCAGAGAAATTCTGGCAATGCAGTAAAACCACGAACAAACTCAAGACATTGTAAATAGGTAACCCAACCTACAGTCTAGGCAAAGCCCAGTAAGAGTGTGTGGTGCCCTGGGAAGAATGGCAGACAGCAGACGGTATTGGAGGGAAGAGAAGGACAGAGAGAGGAACCATCACTAAGATTCAAGACATGGTTTCTGTGTTTTCTAGATTTTTTTGATCACACTGCAGGGACAGACAAGAAGCGGAAAGAAAACAGGTATGCTCCCATTGACCTTGGTACCCTTCCTCCCAGACTGTCACATTTGTCCGCTGCCATGACATGGAGATAATCTTCTCTTCTATACAACTGCAACCCATGTGATAATCCAGGAAATCAGAGGTCTTTGATGATGCCATTTGGGGATTAATTGCAGTTGCCTAGTAAAAATTTACGTTCTGCTTTTTCCGTGTGGGAAAAAACATTACAAACTTCAAAGGCAAACAACCTGGACTAGAAGAACACCGGTTGCCAGTCAAGCACAAGAGTTGGAAACTGACAGATTTATGTTTGCTGTACAAACTCAGTTTTGCCCTTACATGCTTTCAACTGTAGTAACAACTGGACATTAATAACTGCAAATTTCCTTGATTATTTGCTTAGTTTTTACCTCAACTAACAATGGCAACAAACCCAACCATTTGTGACTCAGCTGCTTTGCACTCCCACAGAAACTAGCAGGCTGTAGCCACCTACGTACTCACCCAGACACCTCAATCCAGGACTTACTGCCGAACTGCCAGCCCTGCCCTCCCATTGCTGAGCTTCACTGCTAGCTTATTTCATTCTGTTGCCTACAGCACATATGCTACCCTGCCACATGTTCATGAGCAGACCTGGCTGGAAGGCTTTGGGGGATTAGACATCTACTCTCAGCCCATGGAGTGTGGCATGCTGGAAGTGCTGCCTAGTCCAGGCAAGCCTCTTGCTCATCCACTTTCTAATGCTGCCATCACTGCTGCAATCCAAGTCAAGATATGTAGGCAGGGGTGGCCCTTCCTGGCAACAGCAGCAGCAGTTGCCCTTGCAATCCTTACCCAAATCTTCCTTGGCACTGTTGCCACCCTCACCCCTCCACAAGCTCCTGCAGGACACGGTCCTCTCCAGGGCACTCCTTTGCCTCCTTGTCACAGGCCTACCTCTTCTGTTTTACCCACCTCCTTTTGTAGGACTAGAGCCCACACTTCATCCTGGTCCCTTGCCTCTTCCCCTGCCCTTCCCAGCAGCCTGCGAAGTGCAGGAAGAAAAGTAGTGGCTGCTGCAGGAGGAGCATGGGAGGGGGCTGCTCTTGAGGGGTCAAGGTAAATGTAGACAGCTACCTGGAGGAAAGAAGGGCCTCAGAGCCATTCACGTAGGGTAGTTGAGGCGGGTAAAAGCTGTTTATCGAGCTGGGTAACTTTGTGCCAGAGAAGCAGCCTACCGCCTAATACATTTTCTAGAGCCCCTCAGGTAACCAAGATGATATTTCCAATAAGGAAGGATGCAGGCAGCACTCCTCTGCTGTTGAGTCTGGCACTGTGTGCAGATGGAGCAGGGAATGTACAGACTCCGTTACAGGCTCTGCAGAACCAAATTGTCCACGGTATTGACCTGGCTGCACTGGGGACATACACCGGTGATACCTCTATTCAGGACACAAACATATTCCTCCCAGACACTCCACTGTCTCAGCGGTTGCCTGTTCTGCATTCCCTGCATTCTTGCTGCTGTGCAGCTCAGCTGTGGTACAAATTTACACTTTGCCAGCCCCTGAACGGACAAACAGGCTGGGCTGGGCTGAGCTGTTTTGAGAGGTAGAAGGAATCCTTGTGTGTGTGTCTATATCATGTTTTTAAAAGGATGAGACCCTGATTAACTATGGAGAAGATCATAGAATCACAGAATCATAGAAGATTTAAGATTTCAAGATTTCTATCTTCTCCTGCTACAATTAATTATTAATGAGATTTTTAGGGTTGTAGGTCATCCCTCACTCTCTCCCACTTCTCCCAGTATGAACAGATTCACTTCCAAAAGCATTATTCTGGGAATACAGCCAACATACTTAAATGAGGCCAGCACTTATTACAAATAATGGACATGAATTTATAGCCGAGGCAGTTATAAAGCAATCTAAAATATCAATTATAATGGAAAAAGATCATTTGAACAGTGTTGTGGGGGTTATGATTTGGCCCATTCTCATTTATAATTGAGAACAGCACGGAAAACGGTTAAGTATCTTCCAGATGAAAGGAAGATATTTATTTATATGATAACTAAAGAAAGGGAGAGGCTCTTGCAGCAAGTGGGTTTCCTCAGAATGATGCACTATAAATTTGAGAGCATTGTTTTTAATTTTTATTGGCATTTTGGGTAAAATGCTTGCCTCAGGAAGAGAGCTCTCCTTTTCTAAAAGTTGCAGCTCATCTTTGAGACTCAAACATGGATAATAGCTCAGTTTTCTGCAGCCTGCTGCCAGGACAGTGGTGATTGAAGAGGTGTTCCTTGTTTGCCTGCTACAGGTGCCTGCAGGGCTCCATGGGGCTAAGAAGATTTATCCTCTGAGACAGAACCTTCCTAAGGGAACATGACACTTTGCTTTCCCTCCATCTGCCCTTCTCATGTTCCCCCTTCCTGAGGCTCAGCTAATCTGCACAAATGAAAGATTCACTTTTATGACTGCAAAAATCCTGAAAAACCCCTAAAATGGCTTGGTTGAGGAACGGGATACAGACTTTGTTAGTGAAAGGTCCAGATTTCTGTGGTTCCTTGACAAGTTTTGAATATGAAACATATGAGCTCCAGTTAAAAACATGGACTCTCAGTACCCCAGTTCAGCTGCTCTCTACTCCTGGTACCTAAACTTTAAACATTAATGTTCCCCAGCTATGTAAATCATGCTTCTTCTTATGCTTGGGGACACCTAAGTCTTGAGACTGTTGTGCAATTTAAGGACTATTTGATACTTAAGGCCTGCTGGGATTTGCAATGCAACTGTCTCTCCTCCTATTGCTCCTGGAGACCTCAAGCTGGTAAAGGCTTCTCAGAGCATGTCTACCAGCTTGGGACCCACACAAAATACAGGGTCAGCCATCTTCATTCAAGACAAGGATGCTGGTGATGACCATTGCATAGCTTCATGTTTGGACAACATGGCATAATTCCAAATTTAGCCTGAGATGTGCTCCCTTAGCCCCAGACTAGAGGCTGTCTTTAGAAGGAGCTCTCAAACTTCTTTCAGAGCTGTCAGATTTTATGTAATGAGAGACTGACTGTCTTAATTACTTGGGCACTTGCGTGGGATGTTAGTTCTGATCTCTGCAGAGAATTGTGATTAAACAGTCTTTAAAGAAGGCGTGCATGAACACACTGGGATGGAGGCAGGCAGCTCTTAGCAGTGCTGATGTGCTAGATTCAGGGAGGGGTAGGACACATCTGTCCCCACTGTTTCATACCGGCTCACTTCTAGGCAGCTCCTTGCTGGCAGTTACAATTCCTATCTTGAGTCTCCTGATGGATCCTGTGCATCACAGAAGGAGTTTGAATAACTCAAGGCTATGCATTGTCCTATAGAAAGCAGTTTCTAAAAGTTAAGGACCACAATAGTCTACTGTCAAGTCTAATCGTCTGATTTAAGCCCCTTTGGGGATCTCAACCAAAGACACATTGAGAATGCAACTAGGAAGGCTTTCTACCTCGTTAGTCATTAGGTTAAAGCCTTGTCCCATTTCGGTCTACTAAATACACATCTTGTTGATGTAGAAAGTGCCATAAAATGTTGTTTTGGGTTTTCTCTGAAGATATGGGCTGTACAGACAAGATTGTTTTGTTTCATCTTTTGTTTGAGCGTAGGCAGCTTCCATCTGACATGACTCTGACTTAGAGTATTACCTTTGTAGCAGTTGATATGGTGGGTTTAGGCTGTGTTGTCAGTGCACCTAAAAAGGCTGTGAGACAACCATTGTATAAATTTGGGGAAAAGAGCGTCTGAAGACAATGGGATTATACCACTGTGACTAAAGATAGAAATCTGGTCGCTAAGAGAAATCTGTATTAAAGCCTTAGAGGGATAACAGGACTATGGAGAATACAATATTTGTGTTTACAGAGTTTAAGAGGCAAACTTTAATTTTTAAAAATCTTGTACTGACTAAATTGTGATAGCTGGGAATATTATAAAAGTGTTTGTAG